ACCGCAGGGTCTGTAATCCATAATGGCTCCCACCACCAACCGCCCCGAACACCACATCAACCTCAACTACATCCCCCAGCTGCCCCAGCCGCCGCACTCGGGCTCCTCCACGGGCAACACCTCGCCTGTCGAGCCGCCAAACAGCGGCTCTCTGCGCTTCGCTGGCAATGCCCCGAACCCGCTCGGCAACGCGAGGCTCGGGAACGGGTCCCCGTCGCATGACTATGGCGGCCGCCTATTTTCCAAACGGTATGTCGCACCCTGAAACAAGTTCCGACTCGTGCTAACACCCTGACAGTGCACGCGAGATTCAGGCACAGGAGGGCTTAACTCCGCAAATGTGGGGACCTCCTACCAGCGGGAATTCCACGCCGCTGCGCGAGACCATCCCCGAGTCCCCCAACAGCGAGAACTTGAGCTTCCCCGACTTCAACAACGCCATGCCAGACACCATGTCCGCTGCACCCGCTCCCAACCGCCGCGCCCGCGCTGGCACCCTGCCCTCCCGCTTCTCCCCCTCCGCTGCCCCTCCCGGCCTCATGTCCGGCAGCTCGCTGCTCCCCAAGAGCTCCCGGCCAACACCCTCGACGAGCCCCTTCAAGCCTGGGCCAGGCACACCGACCGACAACTCGAGCTTCAACGCGCTTGGGTCTACAAACGCTGCGGCCAAGTCTGCACTGCTCTCGCGTCTGCGTGCTGGCTCAATGCCTCAGCGACCGGGTGGCTACCTTCCTCCTTCGAACTCACCGTTCGGCAACTCCATCTTCTCGGGCGGCTGGTCCAACCAGCGTGACCGTAGCAGCACACTCCAGAGCATTGCCTCGGTGCCGTCAAATGGACAAGGTTCGCCTAGGTCTTCCTTCTCCCGCGATTCACTCGCCGACACCGATGTCAAGACCCTTGACTACCTTGGTCTGGTCGACACCCCGCAGCCTGCACGAGCTACCCTGGCTCCGTCCGACATCGAGCTCCTCCTCGAGAGCCAGAGGAACGCCAACAACCAGAACTCCGGTGGTGCAAACCGCTTCCGTTCATACTCTGTCAATGCCAAGGAGAAGTACGCCGAAGAGGAGGAGGATCAATATGGCGCATACAGCGGCACCATCACTCCTGCCGAGGCCAACGCCCTTCTCATTCACGAAGCTGTCCGCCAACACAACCTCGAAGTCCAGGCCTTTGCGAACCTCGCCTCCAACGCGCGTCCACGTGCTCGCACCGCCGGCGTGCTAGATGCTCCTTCGCGGGGCATGATGCGGCCCTACTTGCCCGCCATGGGCCGGTTTGACAACGGCATGGGAACCGGTGATTTGACTGAGGATGCAGAGTACAATCTTACTGAGGCTGTCAAGAAGCTCCACTTGCCTGGCTCAAACCTCGGCGACGATGGCACTCTGGAAGGACCCACTCGCTCGCTGTGGCTTGGCAACATTCCATCTTCGACCACTGTTTCGTCGCTCCAGGTCATCTTCGCTCAGTACGGTGGAATTGAGTCTACTCGCGTCCTCACACACAAGAACTGCGGTTTCGTCAACTACGAGAATCTTGAGAGTGCCGTCCAGGCAAAGTCAACTTTGAACGGAAAGGAGATCTTCCCCGGTGCTGGCCCCGTCCGCATCGGTTACGCTAAGATTCCAAGCGCAGCAGCCACCCCCGGCCACAATGGTCTGTTCCCTTCACCAAGTCCTGACCCACTGTCAAAGGCTCAGGCTGAGGGCACTGCTGGCTCTGCCGCCGCTACCAAGGTAGCCAACATCCCTGCGAATGTGCCTTTGACCACCCCTGAGCTCAGCGACATCCGCAGCGACATCATCCAGATTGTGAAGGAGTTGGGCGCCACGGACGACGAGCAGACAAGGATCACCACCAAGGTTGAGAAGGCTGTCCAGTTCAACAACTACGTCGACGAGATCCCATCTGTCGAAGAGCCGAGCCACACTCGCATTCACGACGCTCCTAGACTTCGAGAGATCCGCAAGCGCATCGACAACGGATCCTGCTCCAAGGAGGACATTGAGAACATCGCCATGGCCATGCTCCCAGAAATCGCTGAGCTGTCTTCTGACTATCTTGGAAACACTGTCGTGCAGAAGCTATTCGAGTTCTGCGAGGAGCCTACCAAGGAAGCCATGCTTCGCGAGATTGCACCCCACCTAGCCAAGATTGGTGTGCACAAGAACGGAACATGGGCTGCGCAAAAGATCATCGATGTATCCAAGTCCGAGACTATGCAGAAGATGGTCGTGGATGCTGTTCAACCTTATGCCATGGCTCTCTTCCTCGACCAATTCGGTAACTACGTCATGCAAGGCTGCCTCAAGTACCAGAAGTTCAACGACTTCATCTTTGAGGTCATGCTGGGTAGACTCTGGGATCTCGCCCAAGGTCGATTCGGTGCCCGTGCCATGCGAGCTTGCTTGGAGAGCCACTATGCCACCAAGGACCAGCAGCGCATGGTAGCTGCTGCAATCGCTCTCCACAGCGTGCAGCTCGCAACCAACGCGAACGGTGCCTTGCTCCTGACCTGGTTCCTCGATACCTGCACCTTCCCAAGGAGACGTACGGTCTTGGCTCCCCGCCTAGTCCCGCATATTGTCCACCTCTGCACACACAAGGTTGCATACCTCACCGTCCTGAAGATCATCAACCAGCGCAACGAGCCAGAAGCTCGTGACACTATCCTACAGGCACTCTTCTTCTCTCCCAACGACCAGGTACTGGAAAGCATCTTGGCCGACCAGAACTGCGGTGCCACCTTGATCTTCAAGGTACTCACTACTCCATTCTTCGATGAGCAGATCCGTGCGGATGTAGTAACAAACGTTCGCAACGTTCTCCTTCGCATCAAGGCGCAGCCCCAACAGGGCTACAAGCGACTCATGGATGAGGTAGGTCTTTCCACTCGTGGCGGACCTGGTCATCGTGAGCACTCCGCAACCCGCCCAGCGTCGAAGGACAGCATTGCGTCTGGACCGCCAAACCCTGGGCAATTCTATCAGGGAGCGGCAGCTGGCTTCGACCCTGTCGCACTCCAGCGCACAGCAAGCATGGACTCCAATGGCTTCGAGCAATACCCAATGGGTGGCGGACCCATGTACATGCCAAACATGCAGGCCATGAACAACCAGCAGCAGATGCAGTACCAGCAGCTCCTGGCCCGACAGGGTCAATTCTACCCTCAGATGAACGGCTTCCAAGGCCCTGTTCCGGGCATGGATGCCTACCGCAACGCGTCACCTGTAGCGGGCCCCGGCAGCTTCAACGGATCACCGATGATGCAGCCCGCCAACCTCGCCGGTCAGGGCATGCCCGGCATGTACCCTCCTTACGGCATGTACATGCCACCCCAGCACCAGCAGGCGGCTGGAGGCAACCAGCGACGTGGCAGAGTAAGCAGAAATGCGTCCCCTGCTAACAGCGTTCGCCGTTAACATCTCTTCAGAGATAAAAATCGCGTCGCCTGAGGGTTTAGATTCTCATCTCCTCTTAGAATTTATTGTGTTGCCAGGAAAAGCAGCACTATCTTCCTGTATATGATTCGGATCTTCACCTACAACGCATCTGCTAGCGAGCATTTTTTTGCAAAGCGGCATAACACCATACTTGCCATGTCTTCTCCTTTGCTGTCTTCGGACTCTTACGATTTTCATATCCTTTCTTCACTCAATCGGCACATGGGCCATCTGTCGGCCGACGGTTGTCTTGTCTCGTCACTCGCTCGTAGCCATCTCGCTTGGTGTTTCGGGGCGTACTTTGAGCAATGTTCTTCAATGTAGTCACGAGTCGAGGGGCTTAGCTTACCTTGACTCTGTCGATGGATCGGATGATCGCTGTATCGATATGAAATGCGCATATGAAGAGTTTGGTTGGAATGATATATGCGATCTGGTGACAACGCAAAAGTACCGCTATATGGCATGATATAGGATTTTTGGGATGTTGGGATCTTTAGGTATTCTTCCCCTGCGCTGCGAGGGAGAATGGGGATCGAGCTCGAGCTTGCGAGCTAGATAGAATCGAGATTCTTGTTTCATTGCCTTTACGTTCACAGTTCTGTCCGTCTTCGTTGGTCTGAAGGTGGTGTAGCGTCGAAGCTTTGTCCCCCACAAGACTCATCGTAGTAGTCAGAGCGCAGTCAACAACGTCATACCGTTTTCCCAAAAACTCGCTGCGTGCGTACATCCTGACACTATAAATTCTCTACAGCCTACTTCCTTTATTATATCAAGCAAGCCCACAAGCACGAATCTCCAGACCGCTGATAACCCCACAATGAGCCTAGCCGCTTCCTCTTCACAAGCTCCATCGAAAACCAACAAGTCTGAAATCTGCTTTCACACTATAGAATACTGTACCCTCAGTCGTCCATCCCCAAAATGCAACGGTTACACCATTTGCGAAGCTCTTGTCAAGACGATGAACGGATTACCGAAGTGTTATGACTGGTGGGATCGCGACACCATCGTCCAGAGCACCATGGAGCTCGAAAGATTGCAAGACACGGATGGAGGTCCAATATATCTCCGCGGGGCCGATGTAAAGCTTGAAGAAGTATACGGGCCTGCCGCTTTCAGGGCGGCGCGGGGGTTGAAGATATTGCATAAGTATAATGATATAAGATATGATGCATGGGCGAGTAAGGGGTGTGAGTATGGTGGTGACTTGCTGTTTGCATTAGATGAGCTGACATTGGAAGTAGTGCTGGATGCTCTAAAGGAGATGTTCAGTCAGTATGGGACGCGATGGGAGTGATGATACTAATGTAAGTACCTATGTAATACACATCTACCAGTTGTGTCATAAGTTTTGACTCACCTGCTGATTCATAGTAGGATATAGTCATTACTGTACACTCATACCTCGTGGTGTCATTGTCACAGTCAGTGCGCGAATGTTTATAACCTGATGTATCTGCTCTTGCACCTTCTCACACTCAACGCAACACCACTACTCCCATCAAATCTTACACAGACATTATTCATCCCTGTTTATTCACCCACCCAATGGCCCGCTCAACAGAAGAGTTAGAGGAGCTAGAGTTCTACTATGTTATCTTTCCCACGAAGCTTCTTCCAGAGGAAGAATACACTCTCGAGGACCTCGATATCGGCTTTACCTGCTCCTCCTCTGTAGCAAAAGACATCAGCAATCAATTGACCAAACACTTAAACCCGAAGAGATGGGAGTGTAGAAATCTGGGCAGCCTTACCAAGGAGCAGATTATGGACCAATACAAACTCAAGGAGGAAGACATTGTCGAGCCAGTGGGACGCTGGAAGACTTCCGACCAGCGTGTTTGGATCACTGCTAAGTGTATTTCAAGCCACAATATTTCGCAAAGAATGACGGCAACTAATAGGGTATTCAGTGATGTCTGCACTGGAGCTTGTCAGCGTTTACGAGATAAAACACGAACCTGATCCCGAAACGCGTAAATTTACCAATATCGGGTATACGAACAACCACGACGTCATTGAAAAGACCAAACTCGTCTGGCGCTCGTTGTACAAGGACGTAGTGGAAACGAGGTTCATACTAGTCAATAACAAGGAAGAGTTTGAGAAATTACAGGAAGAGAATCAGAAGCTAGGGCATATGCGTCCCTTTGATCAAAAGGATAAGTGGATTACTGAAAAGTGTACGTTGTACCTGCAAGTTCCGGAACCCCATGGGAGTGATGCTAAAGGCTGTTTAGTATATGATGCATACAAAGCAAAACTTGGGAATTCGGAGGCATATATGTGTGCCTTGCTGGAAAAGATTTTGCTTCTCTGTAGTCGCTAAGACGATGACTGGAGGTATAGTTTTGGCCCAGATCTATACTGGTGGGCTCGTGGTCTCTGGGTTCTGCAACTGGCTACGCGATTCTGGATAGCAATTCAATTTGTCGTAAGAACTATGTATGCCATGGGAATTTTTCATCGTGGCATATCACTCTGACTCGGGCGTGACCCACTGTAGTTTATAGTCAGAGTTGCATGTGTCGCTCTTACTCTTTGTCTTAACGTCGACTCATCGCAATATTTGAGAGTCACTGGATATATATAAACCTCGCTGGGCTCAAGGGTACCTCAAACAATCATCAATCCTTTGCATAACACGTACCGCTTTCGATAGGCCCGGTTATCATCACCCACAGCGACCATGATAACACTCTACTTGATAACCTATCCACCGAAGCTTCCCAAGAAAGGCTTCATTCCCAACGAAGAGAGGTGTGTCGGCGTCACACCTCACGCCTACATTAACGAACGCGTCAAGAAAATAGCCGCAATGCCGTCATTTATAGGTTGGAAAGCTGAAACCATTGAATGCGACCTCGAAGATCCTATTATCAAGAGATATATCGAGAAGGATGGAGGGAAAGTGAAGATTGTTGGTGATGAATGGAGACCAAACGGGAATGATACATGGGCTACTGCTAAATGTACGTAAAGTCACATTAACCCTCCTGAGACTCCGTCATCTAATGCAATACATAGTGATGGAAAGACTCAATAGCGGAATAGTGTTTGAGTTAGAGTACCGCAAGGGACCCGAGCTGCTTCGTATTCTTAGCTATACAAACAAGTATTTCATCGCACAAGAGATCGATGCGTTGAAGGATGAGCCTAAGAGATTCTGGTATACTCTAGTCTTATTTCTCATGAATGAAGAGGACCTTGAAGACTACAAGAGCCTCGACGGAGGTTGTGAGCCTTTTCGCGAGGAAATTGCGGATGGGAGGAATGTGGACGGTGGATGGATTGCGAAAGGCAGTAAGTCATGCTCGCGATTCTCGGTGAATTACCGCAATATATACGTAAACATACTAAGTCGATCTAGTACAAGAAGAATACGCTCGAGTCTTTCGTAAAGTTCCCAGAGAAAAAGCTATCACGGAGAAAGACGAATTGGAACTGTCAAGTGGAGTCAGATCTATGAGAATTAGTGATAAGGCAGCAGACCTCGGCAGCATGGTCACGGGTGTGGTGACTGGGTGGTCATCCTGAACGTACACGTTTGCCGATGAATGATTGCCCATGCTGAGGGCATGTAGATGTCAGTCAATGCGACAAAGCCCACTCCTATATCTTATCGCACAAAGTTCCCATCAGATTCATGGCAACTATCTGCCCATTAATTCACTAGTTCAATCGCAGTTGTATTCACACTCAGAGCTGTGACAAGCTTTTTAAGCCTCACAGTACCATTCATCACTAGGAGTCACCATAGTAGTCACAGTGCACGTCTTTCAACGTGTCATATGTTTAAACATCAAAGATCTTACGCTTCACTTCATCACTAAAACATATATCACGTTCCAGCTCCTTGTCAAAGCCGCCACATCTATTTCACCTCTTACAAAGCCTCTATTAGCCTGAATCATGTCAGCCACGACCGACGAAACTCAATCGAAGACTCCCGTTTTGCTCTTCCGGGTCTTCAAAATAACTTACTTCTGGCCTGGAACTGGTCTCCGTGTGGGCTACACGGACTGTATCGCAGTATATCTAACAGCTCGGAGGATACGTTATTGCATAACTCCTGTTGCTCCTGAGATACTTCCACCGGTCAACGCCGAAGAACTCAAAATCTTGAAAGGGAAATACGGCGGAAGCGAACCCGTCAAAAACCGCGACCCATATCTGATACTCGGTTCCGACGAGTGGAGATTGAACGCTACAGATTTTCTTGGGGAGGATTTCTATGATGCTGAAAAGAAGAAGGACGAAGACGATGAGGACTCGAACTCTGAAAGCGATGGTGAAGAACCATGGGCAACGAGCGGCTGTGAGTTTGCTATAGGAAATTGCTGCCTGGTTGATCCTGCTAACAAGCTATCTAGTACTAGACTTTCTCGAGAAGTTCCATTCTGAAGCATCCAAGAAACCGGCGGAATATGTCCCCATTCCAGGACGTGGGGCGGAGCTGATGAAGGATTTATGAAGTAGCAGTCGTTCGGTTATCCAAAACTTCGTACCTCTCCCTCCTGTCTTATACTAAATTTGTGTCGTTTTCGAATTCTGTTACATACATTCATCTTGCCATGACTACTTACCATTTGACCCATCGTTTCTACCACGACTGGTAGTCACAGCTCACGCTATGTTAGGTCTATCCATAGTCAAAGTGCTACTCATCATCCTGAAGTTGAGAGTCATCATCACATCCTTCATCTCAGTCACTATGCTGACGCAGAGCTCTTGGTATCTAGGTATTTAAACTTACTCAAAAGTTGTGTCGAAGTCTTTACAACACCCGAAGTCCATTGCCCATCCTACCAATACCAAGACCCCACACAGTCTCCTACTCGCCCACGATGGTTAAGAAATACAAGATAACCTACACTACGGGGGAGGCAAAGGCATCCCCTAAGATAGGCCATATGGATTCTTCCCACATTCAGTCTCGCATCATACATCTGGCAGATACGGTTTTCGTAGGATGGGCAGTCGAAGTACTAGGCGATATTACCGACAACGTGACAGAGAAGAGTTACTTCCCTCCAGGTGACGGAGAAGCTGTGGAAATCGATGCGAAGTGGGGGCTGAACAAGCGTCGACATGCTACAGCTGGATGTAAGTATTCTTATGCGAATTATGACAATACTCAGAGAACTGATAACTCATATAATAATGGCAAGGCTGAATGAGCTCTGGCCGTTGATCGAGAGGACCAACGTACACGAAGTGACATTTCCCTTTTATACCTTAGAAGGTACCAAAATTGTGACTGAACACACCAACGATTCCGACTACATCAAAAGGATCAAGTTTATCATGAAATGGCTGTGCTGGGAAGAATGGACGTGTGACCCCATTCATCTCGGGAACCAAGAAGAGCTCGAGGAAGTTCAACCTAGTTGGGAATTTTGTGGACGAACGTGCGGACGGGGCAATAAGGATGACGAAGATGATGAGCGTGGGGACCAGGGATGGATAACTCGAACACGTACGTATCACCCGTCGCGTTTCACGAAGTAGAAGCGGTACTAAATGATAGTCTAGTCTTTGACGCAGTCGAACAAACTGAAGTGCTTACCTACAAAGAAGCGGCCAGAGTCAGACGCGAAGAAGCCGAAAATGTTCAAGTTGTACGCTATTTCGTCAGAGTCAATGGTCGCATGAAACCCAGGGAAGGCGGTACGAACTCCGAGCGTGTCCTCGAGAACATCGATCTCATCAACGAAGAAATAGCCAAGAAAGACCCGTGTAAAAGATATCTTTGGGAGACCTGGGTCCCTCCGATCAAGGACGATAAAAGTCTCACCGATTTGCAGGAAAGTGATGGAGGATGTATAAGAGTGCGAGAGAGGGGCGAGGACTATGGCGACAAGGTTGACGATATTCACGAAGTTGACAAGAAATGGTACAGAGAGGAAGGCCCTCAATATTCAGGATCAGAATCGGAGGACGACGAAGAAGATTACTTTGAAGAATGCTATGAAGGAACATGGTCAACTAGGGATCGTGAGTCTTTCTTCCAAAGTCAGCAGGTTGTGAACAATGCTGATGACCATTTAGTGCTCATCGCACAAGACAAGGCCATGAAAATAGCTGACAGATTTCCCAGTCGTCTCCGACTGGAGACAGTCCGCAAGAAGACGCTGCCTTCTACAGAGAAAAGAGACTTCAAAAAGGGGAGTAAGATCCGCAAAGAGGAACGCTCACAGGATATCCTTCGGTGGATGGAGCGTCAAGGGTGATCATATCAGTTACGTCTTTAAATAGCCTGATGATCCCCTAAGATCTTCAGTCCGCATTCAATTGTGCAACCCACCACTTACAAGACAACTGTGACAAAGTCAGACCACAGAACTACCGTATGACGAACAACAAAACTTCGATTTTTGCCGCCCTATATAAACTGAGCGTGGGTATCATGAACTGCCTGAACGCGCCATAACTCCGACAAATACAATTACATCTTGAACGTTGAGAAACATTGCTGATAGCAAACACTGTAGGTCTTCATCGCGTCAAAACCCAAACACTCAGTGACCGTTGAGACCATCGCTGAATTTCCGCTTCTTAGCCTCGCGCTCACCATCCTGAGGCGGGCGGTATTGGTCCAGCTTGCCCTGCAGCCGGTACGTTTCCCGCTTAATATTTTCGGCATTAGCCAAAAGGTCCATCTCGGTAACCGGAGCTTCAATACTAGCCAGCACGCTCCTAACAGTGCTGATATGATTGGCATCCTTCTTGTCGTCGCGCCAGCGCGGCGTGCCGTCCGCCTCAGCCTTGTATTTCCACTGTCCACCTTCTGTGCGGTAACATTCTATGATACGGCCGTCGAGGCGTTGGTTCAGGGATTTGAGCGTCTCCCACTCGGCGGGGGTGACGGAGAGGGTGGCGAAGACCTCGTAGTGGTTCGCGTTGTGCTGCACGAGCAATTGGAGGGGGGTGGGCATGGCGTCGTAGTCGGGGATGAGACCGTCTTCGCCGTCTTGTGGGTCTATGAGTGGGAAGTCGCCGAGGCGGAGCTTGAAGTCAATGGTGTTCTCGTGTGGTGGCTTCCACTTGAGGATGTGTCTGTCGGTTCCGAACTGGTAGGGCGTGGATACGCAGGTGAAGATCAGGCCGTCGTTGCCGTGTCGGAGGTTGGGGAGGATGCTGCTGAACATGTCCTCGAGCTTGTATGCAGGGTAGGTCTTCTTTCCTTTGAGTGCAAACGGCTTCAGGTCGTCTGGTGTAATGTTCTTGCCAAATGTCCTAGTCAAGCCGGCTTCGTACGGCTTGATGACCCATTCATGCAGCCGACCCAACCGCTTGTCCAGTGTCCTTTGCGTCACATTTGTATTATCCACCGCCAAGCAATCGAAGACATAAAAGTTGAGACGTGGCGCAGGCTCGTTTGGATATTGGTCATGGACCAGCTCGCCGTCCAGAAGGGTTCCGAATAAGAATGGCTCGGCTTCATTCAGGTGCTGGTAGTGACGTATGCGAAATGGAGGCTGGACGTTGTAGTAGTTGTTCTTCCTGTCGATCAGGAAAGTCACAGGCTCGAAAGCTCCGGTCGGTCCCTCTTGCCAGTGCAAGTAGAGCAGGCAGCGCAAGCCGTCCGTCTTCTCGCACATGTAGTATTCATTGCGCTGGAGCTCCGTGACGTGTTCGCGCGAGAAGGATACTGGTTGCGCGCCGGGAAAGCGTGGGTTATCGCGTTCGAGGAGTTCGGCGACGGATTGTTTGAGTGAATGCGCCTCGTCATTTGGGATCTGGAAGCCTGGAATCTGCGGCGGCGCGTGCGATGGTAGCGCGGCGGCCGGCATATTGGTAAGATGCTGGAGGTATTCGCGGCGCTGTAAGATATAGGACGTCGAGCGCGATAGATTCCGTACGCGGGGGCGGCTGGAGGAGAGTTGGTCTACCTTCGCGGTCGCAACAGTAGTTGTACAAGCAATGGATCGACCGGGCGAGCTTACGCGCTAGTGAAGGGTCTGCTTATGTAATCGCTGGCTGCGGCTGCCTAGGCACGGCTGTGGCATGGCCCATCATGCTTCTGAACTCGCCTAAGATTTCGGGGGCCTTTATGTATTCGCAGTACAGTTCTCACCATGCCGACTGTTGCTTGTCGCATCAAGTTCGTTAAACGTCATTCTGCCAGCGTACCGACTGCCCGATATACTCTCTTGCAACCATGGTACTACGACCGCGCACAACGCCGCGCCTATCAGCCATTACCAAGCGTATGACACCAACATAGAAACTGAAAGCTCTGACGCATAAATTCCTTTGCTCTTGCTGAGACCTCTCTCCCTCTTCAACAAAATCACCACAATTCTCACATCCAAATACTACCAGACCCAACACTCACGATGAGCGACTTGCCCACAGAGATATGGGCCATGGTGTTCGCATATTCCGAAGACCCAGAACACCTCTGGATCTCTTGCCGTCACGTCTCCAGCAATTTGAAGGCGGCCGTCGAAATATACACCAGCACCATCTTCCTCCCAAATTTCGTCACAGTATCCCTCACATATCTGACAAAAAACCAATGCACCATACGTTGCAAACGTGGTACTTTCAAAGAATACTCCCCAGACAAAAAAATTATTTACTTCGATATGAGCCGCGCCGACCGGCCAGCCATCGAGTACGTTGACACACAAAGAATGTGTCTCAGCGTCGACAGATTACAAATGGAAACGAGGGATAAGCGGTTTGGAACGTTGGCGAACTCGAAAGGGCCAGATCACGATCGTTCATTCTTGGTCAGACTTTTGGATGGCGTTACCGCTAGCCCTGCGGACAGTAACCAAGGATGGCTCACCTTTGGGCTCGACTTGAACGATAAGATCCTGTCCTTTGACTGGCGAGAGGTCATGACCAAGAGCTTCATGGATAGTACTGATTGCGGGGGATATCTTATCGACCACCTGACGTGGCGCGGTCGTGATAACAGGTTTCCCTGGTGGTGTTAGTGGTGGTTTTGGACTGCTCTATCGGAATTGAACTTGGGAATATATGTGAGACGAAGAAGAAGAAACATGTCTGATGTGTTGCTAAGGAAAGGCTCTACCGCGATTGCACATATCAGATGGAGAGTATCTCAGGGCTGTATAAGAGGTTTTGTTGGCACTGGACACCAATCAGAGGGTATGTAGTCTAATGGTCAAGGCGCCCACTCTTTCGAGGGTGTCGTCGGGCTAATGAGCTCGACGGTTCATGGAGATACGGGTTCGAGTCTCGTCATATCCAACTACGTTTTGCTACTTGCATCGTTCTTTGACTAGTCTATTGGAGATGGACTTAGAGATGTCTGGCGAGGGACAACAAAGAACCCTGGTGAGCAATGCGGCGAAGAAGCGCCACAAGGGCTGTGTATCGCGATCAAGAACCTTTTGGCAGTACATAAGAGGTATGGTTCGTGTTAAACCTCATTAAAGGGTACATAGTCTAATGGCAAAGGCGCCCACTCTTACGAGAGTGAGAGTGACGCTGGACTAGACGGTAACGTCTAGCACAGCGGAAGGAGATGCGGGTTCGAGTCTCGCTGTATCCAATCACTTTTTGCTTTTTGCATCGTTGTTGTCTCTGCAGGCGCCGACTTGTTAGCTATAATTTCTGGTGGCTTCTTCGTCGGATGGACAGGCTCGCTTTTCACTAGAACGCCAGGCCTTATCTTGGGAAAAAGCGCCTCAGCATCCAAGCTTTCACTTTATTCAACGCCACTTCTTCGTACTATGGAAGGTCTGCGCTTTTCGAAAGGGCAGATTGCGTGTTCTAGTATAAGCTTTCAAGTTTTCGAGGAGCAACCCATGTATAACTCCACCGAAACCGCCATGTTGTTACAAACCCTTTCTCTCTTTCTGGCATTCGTCACCGCTTGTCCACCGCCTCTTAACAGCTTCAAATATGTAGCCAATGATACCCACACAACATCACAGATGATCTCTAGCCTACTCGTATCTAGAGACGAGTCTTCACTAGATCGCAGATGGACTGAGATTGTGACCATGGTATGCTCATCCCTACGCTCCAACGCATGACGTCCAACTGACCGTTCAGCTAGACCGGACAACCTCGTACAGTGTGGCCCGACGGACTGGTCCGATACTGTTTCGAAGACGAGAGCGCCCGTAATAACTTCAAGGACGACATCGACGCAGCTTGGAAACTCTGGGTGGACAAGATCGGTGAACCCGGCTGCCCAAGTGGTCACATACTTCAGTTCAGGGAGTACAGAGTCAAGGAAGGCGTATGGCCGTACTGCTACAACAAACGCGAAAAGGACGATGACCCTTGGGTCTGGAACAAGCACGTCAAGAATGACATTGCCGTTATCGCGGAATCTAAAGACACCGAAACCCAGGCTTCCTCGGTCACAGGCTACATACCAAAAGAATGGAGTGACGAGCAAGGGCGACACGGCATCCATCTCGGTCTCGCCTTCAAGCAAAAGTACCCGCCAGACTACTGGATCACAACCGTGGCCCACGAACTGGGCCACCTATTTGGATTCTGGCACGAGCACCAACGTGAAGACCGCAACGACTACGTTCACTTCGACTGCTCCAAACTGCGGGGTTACGCAGCTGCGAAAGCGAAAATTGATGCGGCGAAAGAACATACCATGGAACAAGTCTGCGCCGACTACCGTCTAGCTCTCCAATACGACTTCCCCGCTGTCCAAGACTATGATACCATTGACCATATTGCGCCTCTCCGCGAGGGGGGTATAGAGTTACCATTGTACATCAACAGTGACCTAGAGTTTGACGACGAATCTATCATGTTGTATACCTCTGCGGAGTTCGCGAACGACGGAGCCAATACAGACGACGTCCTACAGGTCCCATTAGCATTCTGGAAACACCGCGGTATAGGTTTCGACCCACCAAACCCAGTCACAAAAGAAGACCTAGAAATCATCGACGTGCGATGGAAAGTCAGTGACGGAGATGCAGACGGCGTCCGCCATCTCTACCCTTATGTCGACTCGGACGAAGAAATGGAGAAGAGAAAGAGAGATCAGCCTGGCCGCCGGACTTGGATAGAATGGACGTCTGAGTTCAATAGCGGGGTATAACTGATCCGATACCAAGGCAGAAGTATTATGTATTACAAAGACATGTAAACGGCGATACGTTCGTTCGATCAACGAACAAAGCCATATCTGTGAGATAGATGAAGAACAGGATCTTGAGTGGGGTATATAGCGAACCGAATGAATCCAACCGGCCCAGTACGTCGCCGCGCAAGA